AATTAACAGGAATGAATTAATCTTAACCAGATGATGAGGTATATAGGGATTAATTAGACGATTTTTGGACTATTTTGTATATGTTGAATGGAATAGCCGAAAAATAATGCCAGAATTGTATAGAGGCAGTAAAATGGCAATATTTGAAAGCCTTTGTATTTTATTTCGAAGATATCTAGTTATCCAGATACGCATCGTATCATCAGAGATACTCTTAATGATGCTGAATATATTAATTGGCTTTTGAAAGCCGCAATTATTATAGATATTGTAAGAATCGATGTCATTCTTAGCAATAATATTGAAATATCAAAGTCTGCTCATAATATTTTGTTACTGATTCTAATTTCATAACGATAATTTTTTTTTCGAAGACATTGGGTTGTGTGGAGACAAGTTACGATTAAAGCTATCCTTAATAATACAAAAAGTTTTATTAATTTGCTAGCAAAACCTGTTATTGTTGTAGATATTGAAAAATTAAACTCAGCTGTAGCAACAATGTTGCGGTATCATGGCTTGCCCGTGGAACTTTGAGATTAATTCAACACGCATCTTTATGGTTTCACCTACTATATTAATCTTTAAAAGATTTTAGTTATGCAGATTTCCAGTTATAACTTAAGATACTCTCAATTAATAAAATTATTTATTAGTGATTTGTAAAGGTTGTACTTATTGTAGAAACTATAAGATTTGATGCTGGTCTTGATACGAATATTGAATTACTGAGCTAACGGAACTTGCCTGCATAATTATGGCTGTTTTATTAGTGATACGAGTATTATGTTGATGTAGACAACAGGATACATCCAAGAATAATAGAATATATCAATATTAAACTTTGTCAATCGAGGTTTCCCCAAAGCTGTAAATAATTGACTTCTTATTGATCTAAATTTATAATTGTTTATGCACCAATGCATGTAAATACTTGCTATACGCGTATTTGATGAAAATTGATTTAATTTCAGCGCGTTTGAAACCTTTACCTACAGTTAAATCCACATAGACGTGATTAATTTTAAATAGGTACCCAAAAGACTTCTTATACTCCTAGAAGTTGTTATATTCGTAATATTAAACGTATTATATCTTTGTTTTAGCTCTCTTTACTTAATTTATAATTTAACATAACCATTAAGTCTAAAATTAAATTTCCAATCAGTAACGTAGCTAAACATGCCATAACTCCTCATATCTTCTTATTATATAAAAATATTAATTTCATCCTATAAATTACGTTTAATATAGATCTAGCCGTAAACACATTTTATAAATATGTTTAAACCCTTACAATTTGACGTGGTTTGATTATATAAAATATTTGCCTATACGACAAATAAGTCATATTTAATTTTTGTTGAATTTTAGGCCGGCATATTAGCTGCAAACTCCAAAAAGATCTTGATACGAACCCGTATGAACATTTAAGAGCTAGTTCTAGTTGTTTTAATCAACCTCAACTTCGATAATGAACTTGCTTTTATGCTATTAATTTATAGCATAAAATGAAGACAATGATTTTCATCTTATTCATCTACATGGATGTTTTTTTGTGCCTTTCCCCTATATATTAAACATGACAAATTACAACATCAAAATTTATATGGTGACTAAGAGCGATGATCATAAATTTGTTAATATGCCAACACTTGCGAATCTATGAAAGAGTTCCTCATGGCAGATCATCAATGTATTCGGATTTGCATCGCATAAATTCGGCGATATAGGTGATAGATTAATGTAACGCAAAATTAATTGATGACTCTAATCGTTAAGGAATAAATACGATTACATAATCATCAATAGAAAAAAACTTAGTCTATTTATTATAATAGCTACGGCAATAACATTGATTGAATGTATTAATTGAGTTCGGTCCCATACTATTCATTAGCTGCTGATATCCGTAAGCTTTAAGATCCATCCTACTGTTCTTATTGGAAATATCGCTAAAACTTTTCCGTATAATGCGTACTGCTGGTAATACAGTATACTTATTTTTTTCAAATCAGACTACTAAAGATCATTGTTGCCGGTATCAAATGAAATTATTCGCATATTCTTTATGTTAAAGTGAATCTGTAGTTGTAAAATGTTTGTTTGATTATAATTATTATTAAAATTGTCAGAATTTGCATAAGTTTACGATTATAGCTTATTATTAAATTCTTACAGTTGTATACCAGCCTAAAAAATTATATATTTTGAGGCTGGTCTGAAGCAGTAAGAACTTAATAATGATAATCGTTTACACTATTCTTCATTAGATTGATCGTTATCAACCGTTGATATATTGCCATCTTTACGAAATTTTACTGGTGATTATGATAAAATTATTGCTTGACTTTTAATTATTTAGATCGCTGTAGATATTAATTAATTAATAAGATCATTCTTTATGGAAATTTAAATAATAAAGAAAGTTTTTGGATTCCTTTTTAAACAATAATAACCTTCCAGATGTAATCACGTAGATGTGGTTAATTAAACATAAAATTGCAATGATTATTGTGGCATTATCTGCCTCTGATGATGCAGTTTATTTCTCTCACCGATTCCGGTCACCACCGGTTCATTATGATCTTTACTTTATATCACTAACTTCATTAAGATAGTTTTTAGTTTTGGGCTATAGTTCATAAGTCATTTATGTAAACTAAGAAGTTTTCAAATATGAAGAAAGATAATAATCGACTATAATAATTAGGTTAAACTTAGATTGAAAAATTAACTAACAATTATGAAATTTTTATCGTTATTGTTTTCCTAAGAGACTATCCAAGTTTATACGTGTTGGTATTACGATTCCATTACGAGATTCTTTAAGATATTTTGCCTGTATTTACAGAAATTCTTACTGATTTCACTTGGGCAGTTTTTAATGTTGGCTATAGACTTAAATATTAATCGTTTACTGATCTGAATATGCTAATATGTTTACGTAAGATTAGCATAGCATGTAGTGGAGTGCATGGAGACAAAATAGGATACTTGGACTACTCAAGAAGGCGATAAGGCAATGTATGGACTACTTAGATAGTTAAATGTTGTGCCCTTAAATTAGTAGAATCTTTGAAATTACGGAAGCTGATAAACATAGATCTACTAGGACTACTACTGTAGAGTTATGTACGTACTGGTTGGAGACAACTGCTGGTTTCTTCAATCCCTGTGTAGAGCTATGTACTTCTCTAATTTCAATTAGACTCAAAGAAATTTTTTGAAAGAAATTTAAATTATGGATAATACTAGCTCTTGCCTTTGAACGTAGCGGCGACTGCATGAGTGCATATTGATTTAATTGTGTTCAACTTTAATCAACAACACTTTTTGAAAAATAAAAAAACGAATGGTAACTGCGATAGCAGTTTTCTTCGCCGATCTTGATGCGATATTTTTTAATATATAGTTATTGCGATGACAAAAGGACACCTACATTTGATATGGTAAACAGTCATGCTTAGTATATTTCTGTTGGGGTCAGTTTGAATAATTATTTAGCTGGTTTAAATAGTTTTATACAAAATTCGAGAATTTGAATTAATTTAATTACTCTTGTAACAGCGTATGCAGCACCTAAACGCAACGATAACTTCCACATTTGAAGTCTATCTGGTTATTAATTAAATCGTATTATTGGCAATAAGGATTTGCATATATAACTATACGAAGTTGGTATCTTGTAAAAAATAACAGATGCTTCTGTATGGATTTATGCAAACCTTACCGATTATATCATTTCAACTAACTCCGTCATTTCTACATCTTAAAGAGATAACGTTAGTAAATTATCCCGATTAACATTTTAAATTTTAGTACCCTTACTATGCTGATTGACAATATTGTTGTCAGGATAACGGCGTAATTTTATTATTAGCATCAAAACGCTAACTTGACATTGATTTAGCGATTGATTGAAGCAAGATAAATGCAGAAAAATTCGACATTGATTGCTCGGTGGTTTAAAATATTATTCCGTAACATGGCCTTGTTAATGTTAACAATGGCTTACGAAAGAAGTTTCGACATGAAATAAAGACAAAAACATTAATAATAAGTTCAGATATGATATTAATAGTAATTTAAACTAGTGCGATATACTATTTAATTTTAAATACACATGGCATTAATTGAATATAAATTACAAGATCATGGCATCGTTATAATCAATAACTTTCTATTTCAGAAATGTGACTACGTGGCATAAAGTCATTTAAAGTAATCGAAAAAATATAATGGTTATTCATGTTATGATAACGTGTTGTAAACAAGGTATTATGCTAGATTCTTGCTTAAAATACATAGCCATCTACGTTAGATACATTATGTTATTAAAACAAGCATAATTTTATGCTACCATTAAACCATTAAAAAGTATTGACATTATAGGTTTGATTCGAGATATGGTACCTATCGAATGAGGTAGAATTCCAACAACTAAATTTTAAATCAGTTTTACTTGAATCGTTAGAAATAATAACATTAAGGTAGAATAACAAAGTGATTGTTCTAACCAATTATTACAATGTAACATGATTTTTTGCAGAACATGTTGATTTTATTTGTTTCTCTTGACATTATTTAATAATTGACTAATCAATAGTAGTTGTACTGGTATAGTAAATCGGTAAGATTGATTAACTGATTTTGTTATACAATAATAATGATCAGGCAGTTATCGCATCTCATGCTTTGATAACGCGAATAACATAATTAGGATCGGTCTATTCCATAGCTATAGATTACTGTTTTAACCCTACAATTATAGTGATCTCGATTTCGTGTCAAATATTGGTATAACAATCTCCTGACCTTATCGGTATTGACAGCTCAAGAAAATTAGATCGATTATTCTTATATCTCCATAATCTATCAGATGCTACTTAGATAGTGATATTCAAACCCTTTATATACCAAACTTTCGGAAGAATACATATTCAACAAGCTCGAAAGGAGCTGATGAATAATTACATAAATATATACATCTTTTACAGTTATTGACCAATTTCAATCCTTTCGTTACAATTGACACGTTTATCAATTTCGAGTTGTGCTGCTGCTACCTGATTTTTAATCTGTTTGACCTTTAACAGTACACCCTCTGACGGTAATTAGTAAAAGAAATTTAGACAATCAATTGAAACTAATAAATTTTCGGATTTATTTTAAGTAAAAGTTATATCAGTGATAATATATCAGTACTAAAAGAAACCTACCGGCTCTTGTAATAGCTTCTACAAGTTGTTGGCGAGCCTGTGCATTTTCTTCTTGTAATCTTTCGATCGCTTTTTCCTACATAGATAAATCATAACAATGACGCATGAGTAAAGAAAATTAAGAAATGCAGTTTACATTCAGTCAAGTAAGAAAATACATTATCAGTTTTAGAAGAAAAGTTATTATTTTATTCTTTGAAATTATCCATTTTAATTTTAATGATGGTTACTCTCCGTAGTATTTCGGTTACAATGTAGTAGACTACTTGTGCCATTCATTGTGAAAAACCCTAAGCGCTTAGTTCCAATTATTAAATTACGAAATGGATTTTTAAGTTTATAGTCATAATCATTGTCATATTCAACTCTATCTTTGTTTGATATTGGTATCAACTTCTGCTAGCTGACGACAACTTGATTTTAGCAGTGCTTTTGTATATATATATATATATGACGGTTATGATTTGACGCATCAGAGTGTTACAGATGTTTTTACATGGAATTGGATTACATTATGTAACAGTCGATGAAGAGGATATCATTTTCGTTGCTATTCTGGCTCTGTCCTGCTTTATACGTATTTGGTTGAAATTTGTTTAACCATTATTCATTAGTAATAGTGGACGTAGAGTAAATGACGGCTTTAGATGCGGCCTGTCCTGTCTAAATCAGTAACATCAACGAATGCTTGCAATGCAAATACCTGATTTTGTTGCGAGACACGAATATCGGGTAAGGAAGTAATAATGTAGTCGATATCTTGAGCGGTCCGAGTAATCAAGGTAGCAAAAACGTCTAAATTGTCTATCGTTATAGCAAGAAAGAATGTTTTAGTTGAAGGTCAAGTTGAACTTCATATATCTACACTCTTCTAGGTAGATTAAATATACTTTGTGTCATTTCATGACAGGAATTACAGTATTGGCATTAATCATACTGCTTTTAAATGATTCTTTATCATGATACATTACTTCTTTTACTTCGTAATTAATTTTTTATACGCAACTGTGGTACTGTATGGCAGGAATTTTAATAATGAGTGCAGATAGGTAGCACAACTTACTTTCTACATTTTCACCATTCGTAGTCGGATTGTGAACGGCTAGATAGGATACCGTGTTTGAATAGAGAATTTGGTTAGTTTGCATCCATTGAATACTTAATAAGCCTATAAGCATAGTCTAGAAATTCATGAAAGTATTTTATACGCATACAGTCATCGACGATCAAAAAGACAGTTTGTAGAAACAGTTGGGTTAGTCGACGTCTGGTAAATTCTTAATCACTTCATATAGTACTGAAGGCATACAGTAGATATCATATAGGCTGTTGGTCGGATGATTCAACATCCCTGGAAGTATTCTATACTATTCATTATCAAAATCACTTTTGCATTCTAGGGTTATATTAAGTAAGAATCATCATCAATCCATTTTGTATGATACGCAGTATGCACAACTGTCTATTGTATAGCCAACTCAAGTAGTCAGAGTAAGGCTATACTTATTTTATGGTCAGACTAAAAGTAGAAACGCTTCTAGCTTAGCTATGAAATACCAGTCGATAGTTACTATAGGGTTGAATATGATACACGTATACTCTATAGAGCCTACTTATGGATTTATTCGTGGAGATATAGTACTACTCAACTGACTATATCCTACCTCGGTCGTGGCTTTCAAATTCATCAAAATAACTTAACGGCGCCGATTGTTGTAGAACTCCAACGCTGTCGCAAAGATGTTGAGCTAGCTGTTATAATTATGCATAGTATACAGAAATAAAAGGTAGAATTAAAGCTAAAATGATTTACAAGATAACTTGATGAATATTGTTCAATCTACTTGCATGGATCAATCAATCTAATCAACTTACTTGGTTGACAGCGTCTTGTAACTGCGATAATCTGTCCGCCATGTTGGTATGTTACTGTCAATCAATTGTAGTCCAGGCATGCGTGCAAGTGGTCCAGTCTACAGTACTTTATACACTACCAGAGTTATAGTATGGAAACCGGACGCGGAGCCGTACAACACAGTACAGTATGGTACACTGTATACTGATTATGACCATGAGCATTGCGGGTACAGTGTACAGTACGCTGTACTGTAGGTGGAAAGGCGAGCGTGGTTCTGGATAATGCCATTGTTTTACTACAGTAGCAAGTGACAATACTACAGTATCTAAGGGTACTGTACACTGTACAGTTGTTGTACTGTACAGTAGAGTACAGGACACCACTTGATTTAGGCCTTTCAAGGTCAACAACAAAATGGCTCAATTTTTAAAGGTAGTTGCCTTGAGACGTTTACCAGGACTCTATCCTAGCGTTAGGCTAGTACATGCATCCAGGTAGAGTTGTCACTTAGTTTGCATAGTAATGAATAAATTGTAATGGGTTAGCCATAACTATACAATCGATTTAATTTTGATGATGGAATTGTTCAAACATGATTTATTAATCCTTTTGTGCAGAATGATGAGGAAAATGATAGATTGAATGATAATTACAATTCATTGCATAAGTTCTAATTGAATATCGAAAAAAGTTAGCCATACCTTTAAGGTCATATTTTATCATTTCTTTTGTAGTGCCTTAATGAAAATGAAAATTTACACCAAAACTGGCGATAAAGGTATACAGTACTACGCGTATGACATGTAATGTTTGTTGATAGCGATAGACGAATGATGGCGTAATACTAATTGTTGTACAGTACAGTATTGGATTTCGCTTCTTGCAATGACAAAATTTCAACGTATTTTATTGAATTGAATTGAATTAAACTGTTGAGACTGCATCGGTATCACTAGTTGTAGCCAATCAATTTCAAGTGTTGCTTTCAAGAATATTGCTATTGGATGATGCACACCGACATTTGCGTTTGACTAGTATATTGCAATCGTAAGACTATCCTAATTTAAGCAATTGCTATTTCGCATTCGTTGAACAGGCAAATCGAGCTTATTTACTGGTGAAAGGCGACTAAAAGATGATACTATATTTGAAGCTTTGGGAACAAATGATGAGCTGTCATCAGCAATAGGGTAAATCAATCATACTACTGTACTATTCCCAAGATTTGATTCTATCTGCAAAGCTATATCGTTCGTAAAATATGGTCTTAATTTTATGGTTTAATCTTTCAATATCTAAATATACTAAAAGGTGATCGCTAAAGTAGCTTGTTTCATTTTTCTAACTTATTATATTACACTCTAAATTAATGTAGGCTAGCTAGAGAATTTTGCTTGCAGGCTGGACAGAACTTTGTCGACAAGCTAGAACAAGTATTTCATATCTTAATGATGTATATCTAGTAAAATATTGATACAACACGTTACTACTGTTTTCTGACTTGATAAAGTGATTATACTGTATTGGAACTGTGTTTCCGTCTGCTATTTTTATGAGTTATACGTATAATATACTTCGTTACAATTTCTACGTTTAAGATTTTAATATTTACTATACCACTATTTATCCACTTCAAACGGTAAAATTACGCACAATTCGTATTATACTGTAGATTCAATGTCGCTTGCAGGACATCGGATCGAACATTGCTACACCGCGTATTCAAGCTGATGAGGATAAATTAGGTTCTCCTATAGTAATAAATCTATAAAAATGTAGTAAGACATTATTTATTTGCATTGGAACATGCTGTCGTTTCCACTAGGCGTTCAACCTAACATGGCTTAAGGATACGACAATGTTAATGTTTATTATTTTAAACTAATTAATATATACGCGTATCATCCAGGCAGCATTTAACGAAATTAATTTTTTATTTATCTAGTTCGAACAGAATTTAGTTCATCTAATGTCCAACAATTGGAATTATGGATTGATGAAATGGATGAACAATTACCACCATTAAAAAATTTTATCTTACCGGTGCGTATATTCATAAGCAACAAGATATTCAATAGAGTGTTTCAATGCTATCTCGTGAATGCTAGCAATACTGAAATATTTGAAGGTGAATTTTGTTCAAAATTACCAATTCTTTTCGTTCGCAGTCTGGTGGATTATCAAGCAGCTCTTTGCATGTGGCGAGATCAATTTGTCGTCGAGCCGAAAGAAGGTACTGTTATGCTATTACATCTTATGTAATACCTAAATTCAAATCAGGTGCAATTCAATATACAGTATTGTATTAGATACTAATAGAATATCATCATAATATCCTATAACTTGACCAGTATCCCTAGGGGATACAGCTGATCTATTTATTTTCACTGCAACTATCGTCAATGTAGGGTTGTACCACTTGTTCGTGAAAATGCTGTTGACCCTGATGTTGCAAAATACTTAAACAGGTTCACAAATTGCTTCTTGTCGAAAAATGTTCCTTCACGAATATATTACTTGCGTCCTTTATACAACACTCGTTACAGTAGAAATTGATCCGAAATTCTTACACTAATCTAATTGTAACGTATTCGCGCACTCGATAGACTTGGCTATATTCTGATTTCTACTAGAAGTACAGATTAATTAATTTATTTCAATCGCATATGACTACGCTATCTTGCTAATTCTATTGAAAATACCAGTAAATCTAGCGAAACAATTTCGAAGTTGTTAATTGTCATGCTTTCTAATCATTTGAATCCATTAAGGCTCAGCGACTTTCTATTCACTGCTGCCCGCTATTCCGCCATGAAGGAAGGCCGTAGCGAAGTTATCTATAGAAAAAGCGATCAGTAAAAAGGTGTAAAGCTGCCTGTTGTTTTATTAATACTCAAAATAAGTTGTAAATTCTTTACAGTGTTAAAATTTAAATGAAAAAGCGACCAGTAAAGTGGTGCAAAGCTGCCTGTTGTTTTATTAATACTCAAAATAACTTATAAATTCTTTTACAATGCTAAAACTCAAATGCTATCCTATAAAAGTTTTCTTGCTATAATTTCTTGATAAATGAAATGAATATATACGTATACATCTAGTCCAATTTTTGCGTTCCAAGACTTTGCGCTCACATTGTATAGCTTTAGCATTTATATAGTACAGCATTCTGAATTTTGAAATAAAATACCTAACTTTCTCTTGTATCGTGCCAATATATATGAACGTGACCGTAGGCGAAATCGGTCATTTTGCAAATGAGAATACAACTTATATGATAGACAGGCGCTCGCCGCGGAAATTTACTTGTTATATCATGCGCCACTGTTAAAAGGTGCAGGAGAGCTGTTAACGATACTGTTGTGGTACTGTAGCACATCAATTAACGTTCCGTTAGAAGCCTTACGGAAGATTTTGTTGGATATCCGAAATCGCTTTATTAACGAATCTCAACTGCTACGGTAACGGAAGTAGTGTGGTCACTGCCTATAATTATCCATGCTGGGTGTATAACCCTAACCCTAGCGATACTTGTTTATCAATACTGGATGTGTGATAAAGGACAATTTCCGAGGTATTACGATACTACAAAATGCGGTACTGTACAGTATATTCAAATTCAACGATTTAACAATCGCGCAAGTTAATCAGTTCAGACATATGCAAAATACAGCACTATATATTAAAAGCAAATCTATTCATTTATTAATTTTTACCAATGGAAACTAATTTTAATATCACCATTAAAAGGATTTAAACCACAACAACAGACGGGTAATGTATATATGATACTGACTGCATTCCAGTATGAAACGTGTACATATTTGCTTCTGGTATAACAACTGACTACAGTTAACATCAACAGCCAAATTAAAGAATACTAAAAATTTACTAGGTGATTGTCGTACGACAATGGTCTTTACTACAATACAAAAACAAATGTTAGAATTCACAGTAAATTCTCTTCGGCATCAAAGGATGTGCGTAGCAAGCAACGTTATTTAATCTACTAAAAATATTTGATAATTCTATCAGCTTTCGGTAGATGTAAAGACTGCGTACTGTATCTTTTATCATAATTCTAATTACAACTGCTGTATAATACTCTGATAAATTCATTTCTATCAATCGTTCTACATTGAATTGAAGCCTCCACCATATCCTGCTCCGAAAGGTGGCTGAGGCTGTGGTTGCATATTCATCATCATGCCAGGGGCAGAGCCCATTCCACCCATCATTTGCTGCGGTGGTTGAGGTGCAGGTGCTATTCCCATACCAGGTGCAGGTGGCATTCCCATACCAGGTCCAGCAGTAATCATCAATTGTTTATCTACAAGAGTATGCATATTCTTAATTAAAATTTCAAATACTAGCCAGCTAATTTAATAAGATACATAGCATTACATTCAGTATTACTTACCAAACACAATAGGCTGTGTATCGCTAGTGGATTCCTCTACTACTTTACGCTCTTCCTCAGAAAGCGCCAATTTATCAACCTGCGATAGTAGGATATTCAATCATTTATCATCATAGGTATGCGCGCTCCTCGTACACCTATCTATATTCTTAGACTATTGACCTACCTTTGAAATATATTCACGCATTACTTGAATTAAAAATGGCATAGCATAATCAAGTAAATTATGCCTCCAGGATAATTCTAATATAACGTCAGGGCGGAGTAAATCATAGCAAACAAACAAACAAGATGCAAAACATTCCTGATAGTCATTTTCCAAAAACCAAGCGATGAGGCTTTCTGCCAGCTCCTGCTTACGCGAATCTGATGTATATTGCATCGCGTCCTGAAAAATATAATATTTTAACAATTTAGGAGCTAATCGTGCAATTGGTCAAAGCAACAATACATATCCATCCCAAACGACTAATTCACAAACCTTGAACAATTTATCTTTCTTGCACAATTCAACAGACTGACTCCATCTGTTGTTGCCTTTGTAAAGATACGCAGCAATTCTTCGGAACTCAAGAAGTTCATGTTTTTCTAATTGTTGAGCTAAGGCAACATTGTCCAAATTATCGTACGCATCGATAGATGTACGTAAACCGTTATAATCTTCTTCTTCAATTAAAACACTATTCAAAGCTTCGTTAACAGTTTTATTGTTGTTGTTTTGGACTGAGCGCAAATATGGCTTAACAAGATGAAGATGCTTTACTTTCGTAAAATAACTGACCGCTCGAGTGTGGTCCAGTCGTGGAGTCAACACCACAAGTAAATCATTCAATAACATAGGTCTAAAATCTAGGTAGAATTGCAAAGCCTTGTAATACAATTCTATGTTAGCGACTTTAGTAATAATATCTTTAAACATGCTTTCGCGCCATGATTCTGTCGGATGGGCCATCATAGTTAAGATTGCATTGTCAAATTCTTCGTATTTATCGTACAGGAAGACCAATTCTGGCCACAAGTGGGCTTGTTCAGCAGCACGAAGTACTTTCGGAATATTAACGCGAGACCAGAAGAGTTCTAGATGTTCACGCATTTTCGATGGCTTGTATTTAGAATACAGAATAGCTAATTCAGTAAACATACCCATATGAGCGCGTTCTAATCCAAGCGCAGCCTCCAAGAGTGCCATTAGTTCCTCAAAGAAGCCACGATCCTGATAATAATGAATTAATTCTTCTAATTCATCAGCGTGCACAACGATATGCAGACCACACATCTGGGCCAATCTAAATTCTTGACCATCGATACAAGCAAAGCAAACTTCTTTCCAGGTTCTCGTGCTATTGGCCTTTCTTGCGCCATCAACAGCGGCCTGATATTCTCCAAGATGAACCAAAGTAGAGGCAAGTCGAGCAAAATTTGAGACATTATTGTATAATAGTTTTGCAGCTTCGAATAATTTGTCGTCATAGCAACGATCGCCAACTTGTTGGATTTGAGCGTGATTTGGACCAGAAATAAATTCTTCCAATTCAGCAAGACGGTTGGTTTTTGCATACGCATAAACAAGCTCCGTTTCGACATACGGATCACGAGCATTCTTTCTAGCCATTTGTAAGTAACGCACCAAATCTTCGTAATTGCCGGATTTACTAGCAGCATCAACAACATCCATGTAAGTTGATGGATCCTCAGCTTTGATATAAGAATCAATAGCTTCCTTGATGAGTGTGGCATCTAATTGCGCTTTTGCTAAGAGACTCCATACAGATGGTTCATTGCAACGTTCAGCGAATTCGTAAGCACGATCAAGATTTTGCACATTTTCAATCAATACTTGAATAGCCGACGTATTAACTTCAAACTTCTTAAAGATTGCAAATGCTTCTTCGTACAGCTCATTCGTGATTGCAATATTGGCAATATCAGGAGCATCGTAGTTGTCTAGCCTATTGATATATTCCATAACTCTTGAACGATCTGCTTTGATAGCTGTTAAAATCAATAGATTTTGGAGGTTTCTATGATCGCTGAAAACAGAATTATCTAATACAATCTTCTCAAGCAATTCAATCAATTCGTTGGGGAGATTAGCTGTCATAAACGCTTTAACAGTAACGGAAACATCATCAGCATCTTGAGTTTCCGAAAGAGCGGTTTGGACAACTTGATCAATGAGTTGGCGTCTATATTCATTCTCTTCCACAAGGACTTTCGCCCAAAGTTCTGATTCGCGACGTTTTACAAGATAGCGTGCTTCGCTTTTGAACAGCGAATTTTCGTTACAAACCTGGAACGGTAAGTAATATTATTAAGTAACAAAGTCTTACATTATCGTTTATTATATAACTTTCACTAAGGGCAGTTCATGAATTTAATACCTTGATAAGTTCATCATCACAAAGGCCACGTTCGTATGATACACATGCCAGATGAGGATCTCGCTTTTCGCAATATTTTCCTACAACAAGACTTTCATAGTATTGATTTTCTCTCAAGAAACGTTCTGGATTGTTGTTGCTATCAATATAGATCTTTGCTAGAGCATTATGAGTGGCAGGTTCTGTCGATCCGTCATGAATACGTGCTTCTAACCAAGGAAGTAATAGTTTCAATCTATTGCGTTTTTCAACTTCAGCAACCAATTCATTGGTGTCAAATTGCCCTCTAACACTCATTATAAGACTTTTGATGATATCTTCGCCACAGTCAACATCTAGTAAACCACCAACAACCACAGGAAGGCGACCTGGATTAACCTATCGTAAAAATAATATTAGATTAGAAATCGAGCGTATAACCTTTATAGATTTACAATCAAGAGAGAGCCATAATCGTTTATCACCTTTTGAACATAGATTTCAATATATTTTTGCAAGTTATTTCGATACAAGTAGAGCACCAAGTCATGGACAAAGTCAAAACGATCACAGACAATTATTAATGGCAGTTGATCGGTTAGCTTAGCATCCTAAAGATTGAAGAAAACTTAAATTTTAGTAGCTGATAGCACGTCCTAATTATACGTGTGTATAATAAAAAGAAAACATTGATCGCATTAAGTAACTTCAATTTACCTTTAAGAAATTTTTTACGGTTTCGGGATCATAACAACTACTCTCTCGACAAATTCGTTCCACCTCTTTAATTTGACCAGTCTTACATGCAGCCTAAGTTTTTTAAATTTTATCGTAAAATTTTACAATTAACAATCATATAAATTATTGTCAACATCCGTTATGATTTTTGTATACATATTACTGGATTACTCTACAAGTACCTGAATATATTTAAAATGCACATCTGCTTCCTGACTAAAGTTAACAATAGAGGCCAAGAAATAAAAGAGACCTGAATAGTAAATAACACCACCTCAGTATGATGTAACAATATATAAACGGTAAAATTTTGATCAAATTAAGTAAAGGTATCGTAATTAATCTAACCTTCGTAACATTTAAAGCCTTCAAAGAGATCGATTAAAGCATCAGTTGATAATTGCTCGTGGTATTTCGTAGCTATTTGAACACAGACTTGTAGATTCTGCCGTAAATTAACTACTAACATAGATTTTAAGCATTCCATGGAATCTTCAACAGAGAGTGAACCAAAATATGTTACCAACCATTCTGGATTTAACATGTGAGTGTGCACAACGGCTCTTTTGATGTCATATATATCGGTGTACAATTCTAAAGCACGCTGAAGTAATCCAGCATTTTCGCATAGTTGTGCTACGTGAGCTTGATCAAAGTGTGTAAACATGTGCTTGCCCAAAATGGCATCAGCAACTTGTGGAGCGGACATTAAGTTCATTTCTAGCAAACGTGTTTGTAAGGGACCTTCCTCTTCACGGTTATTTTTTAATGCGTCCAAAAGGAAAGACGTACACTGCTGGACCATATTTGTTTCCATGAAGACATCTACGACCTACCGGAGAAGTAGAACTTTAGTAATACATAATCAAAACCAGATACTTGTGATAAGATAACAAACCAGATTTAAGTCTGCTAGCGGTTCGTCATCTTCGACGAGTAATTTAGCAAATTGTGCGCCTTGTTCAGGATTCATTCTCATAATACCGCGCAACAAGAAGATATAGTCAGGTTGGTAATTGACTTTTTTCGAGTACAGCACGATCTTTTGGTACTGACCAGTTTCAGCGAAGCATTGAACCACCTAAATTGAATGGAAGTAGAAATTTTATAGTTTGTGTTAGTTGTTCAAACAAGATACGTTCATGTCGATGATTATAATAGCACACTATGTTATACATAAGCATTCCTAGCATAATACCTTATGAGGAACGTTAGCTCTCAGATATACTGATAGAGCCATTGTTGGGTCTACTTGTTTCACTAAATCGCCTAATTCTTCACTGCATTCAAGCTGTAATACACGACACAAACATAAGAAAGTGAATATCTATCGCGCGGTATTATATAATTATATGTCAATAAACTATACCTTTTCTTCTTTTAACCACTTTTCGAGTAACTGTTTTCTGCCTTGTTGAAGAACTGGTCTGCATAGCTCAAGAGATTCAAATTTATTCAATTGTCCTTGTTCTAGTAAAATTCCAAAGTATTGTAATAGTGGTGGTGTGGACCCTGGTTGAGTAGGTGTTTGTTGGAATTTTTGTATTGTTTGTGGAGTTCGTAAAATACCCTGTCGCAAAGAAATTTATTTTGGTCAAGTTTACCATATCTGTTAATGAATACATTTAAGCTACAGAATTCTTATTTAAGAATGGGCAAGAAAATGTATTGGCATGCTATCAAGAAATACACTTATTGATTACGTGCAATAACCTTAGGGGCATTTGCTGCCACTTTGGCAGCTTCTGGGAAATTTCCTCGGTTATACAAATTATCAAATTTTTTGACAAAGAGATCTTCTGCTCCACCTAAGTTGCAGCGTACTGAAATCGTTAATGCCAGATCAGGGTTTTGTAAGACATTTGTTATATACGGAATAATTTTGTCTGCATCCATGCTAACTGTGAGAACCTACAATGAAGTCAATATGCATGAATGATTTAAGAACGATACTGTAACAGAAGGTCTTTTGGGTAATTCATTGTCCATGTCTTAAAAGTTTTTATAATATCTCTATGTAGCACTTACTTGTCCCTTTCGATTAACACCAATGATACCCCCACTACCCTCATGTGGAGCTGTTACAAATATAGTATCGCTACTAATTCTGTTCATGTAGATACAAACTCCTGTTTCCGCGTCATACATGTGAACATAACCATACTTTGTGATGACGAAAATTAATCCGTGCTTTTCACTTATCTAATAATAAAAAAATTGAATATCAGCTTAATTCATTAACGACAAACGCTGATAGCCTCCGAAGTCATCGAATTTACACGCAATTCATGAGATACCTTACTGTATTTGTACTATAGGATAACACTAGTAAAATAGGACGGCTAACAAAATAAATGCCACAATTGCTTAGAGAGCATTGACACATACTTGCATGGCAACAGGGAAATCGTTCACAGCTTCAGGTGGGAAATAGATGTCAACAGCTTTCTTAGTGAATGGTTGATTACCTTGGGGTGCAGAGCCAACTTCAATAATATGAAGCTAAACAAGTATGAATAAAACAATAATGGAGTGATTGTAGCAGTATTCAAAACTACGTATTCTATGAAATTACGCAATGTAACGTTGTAGTGGAATGCCTAGCATTTTCCTGATGTTTTATTAATAACATCTTGAAACACTTACCTTTCCAGTATGTATATTTGGGTTACGGGTAGCAAATGAGAAAAGGGTTGATGGATTTGGATTTTCACCGACTTTCATACTAGTAAAGGCAGCAGCATGTCCTTCAATAGGTTGACTAACTTTTCTTTCAGTAGAGTATAACTGCATGGCTCCAGCTACACGATTTTGCTAGACATCAATGAATTCATCAATTAGCTATTCAAAATTGAATGTAGATAGTCTCCATTTTTTAGGAATATTTCAACGGTTTACCTGCGCTGCAATTCCAACTAAAAGTAACCACTGCATCGTCGGATCAACGCGGTAATTGATAATCTGGTAACCGCTTAAACTAGCGTGTCGATCAAACATCTTCTCGGGTAAGGAATCGCCTGTGATAATACCAACCAATAATAATTAAAATTTATCAACTGGTATATTATGGCGCATCAAATACAGGCGATAATATTCAAGTGAGTTCTAGAAGATTTGGTCATGAAGTAAGTTGCTGTTGACGATTGCAAACAACTAAGATTATTATCATACAGTAGTTGTAGTAAAGCAGTATCAGTATAAATCCACTGTGTCGTGCTAATCACATCCTCATTCGATGTCGAGGAGTTTGGGTTAGCAAAATAAGCAAACAAAATTCATAAGAGTACTGTACACTCTAATTGAAGTCTCATTCCGGCTAGCTCGATGGTTTTGACTAGAATAAAGGAATATGCATATTAGCGTCCGTCTTGCTTGCGCTCTTACCTTCCATAGACCAATGATAGACTGAAGTTTGGGTTACCAATGCTACAGTATTCACAGAGATCCAATTCCAAAAGATGACATCTTCATTCATGGTATGAGCTTTCATACGACTTTTCATATCGAAATTGAAAATCTGTAAAGTTTTGCCAGCTATTTGCGATTATTTTCACACCCATCATTCGATCCAGATAATATGAAAAACAAGAGTATTGATTCAATTAAGTATAATTTAATCTAAACAGGAGAAAATGACATTAACCAGAAGGAAAAAACGGAACGAGTACAGTACTAAGTCATTTTTGTTAACCAATGTTTAAAATTTGGAGAGAGAACTGTCAGTTATCTGCGTTATTTGGAGCAGGGCGGATTTAGGTACCGTCCACATCGACAATATATTTAACGATGGAAAAGTACAAGTACTGTAAACTAATCAAAACGGAAAGGCTTGATTAGCCAAAAAACCGCTCCTAAGCAAGATTGAATTGACTTGACTTTTGGCTTCTTGGGCACAGACTAGTCGGACTACTGATGGAAACTCCATTTCTCCTTGACTAGCACAAGTCGTGGCTACTATAGCAGACTTTCTCCAATGCCAAAGCGAAGAATGTCATGTAGGCTGTAAAACATGGTACAACTAACAATCCTACTATAGGGCAGTTTGGCAAGTAGGGGCAACCTGCGGTTTTTCCCCCTACCGTATACTATTAAGTGACTGGAAAGAAGCGTAATCGTTTCATTGTAGACAGTATTGGACGGTCAGTGAGGGTCAAAAAAGCAATTGACCGTCATTCAATGCTATTGCGGTTAGGTGTATTAATCGCAGCAAAAAGACTTGAAATATGGCAGACAAGACTGTCCATTTTTTTTTCATTTACCTCTTAAAGCAATAACCTTTGAAGCGGGATTCATAATAGCCGATTCGGCAGAAATGGGTCGACGAATTGGACTATTTGGATTTGCCATATCGATGATGACCACTTGGGAGGTGTCGCCAACTTTCTCTCGGACACAGATGAATTTATCCGACTGCATTGATAACGTGGCGAAACCGATATTGGCGGCATTGATGCCAACATTTGTGAGCTACATCATTGAAAGAAATAGACATATTAATTCACCATCCTTTGCATTCAATTCGTTCCTTACTAGGTTGAAAAAAACACCGTTATTACGGGTAGAAAGAAAAATGGACGCCATTTTTTTTTTTCCATAATTGCCTGATACACAATACTCCATGATCGAGCGTCACTATAGTAAATGGTAGCAACTGGCGATAAGAGTGAAACAGCCACATGGTAGCTGAGCGAAAGTAGACTTTTTTCGACGGCTTATTCGCTAACCCCTATCTGTTGGCAAAGATGCCACTACACCTGTACAATCTTTTTTTTTTTTTTTTCACTCACCACAACATGCTCTTGGAACTTGATCGGAATTTGCTTGGACATGACTCGTTACTTCTATGAGGAAAGGGAAAAAAACACCCAACTGTCAGTCAAGTCGTGGTTGATTTGCAAAAGCTTCTTCCTTTCCCTCTGGCTTACCTCTTTCGCGGTGCGCCACCCACAATTCCGCCGAGTTAGCAAGGGGTAAATGATGGTTGAAAAAACCCCTTATGTACAAGCATGGCCGATGACGTTTCTTTTTCTTGGCCAATAGGCGGGCCTTTAGCGTGGTGACGTCATAGCGTGAGCAAGGATTGAGCGCGTGAGAAAGTGGAGGAAGAGAGATGACCGGTGGTGGGACAGACTTTTGTGCGGCTCGAGCTAGCAAATCAGAGTGGCAGGTGGGATTTTATCATTCAATTGCTGTACAGTACAGTACCGAGTCCATGTACTGGTACTGTACCAGGCGAATACGGTACGGAACTTCACCCGTCATGACGACTCATCACGACGATGGAGAACCGCCACACGTGACCCACTGTACTCAAGAGAGTGTCCATACTGTACACTGTCGTGAAGAAGAGGTCGGTGAAACACGCCCAAATTGAACACGGCACAGTCGAGAGCATCAAGTGCCAGTCTGTGTTCGTGGTTCATGCACATGATCCATGCAGGGACAAAAGGGATGAGCGTTTTCACTGGGTGGGATTGATTGGACGATACTGTACTAGACTCTACACTCAGTGACGGTGTACAATCGAGTACAAGAGTATTGTTCCTGCATCCAATTGTTTGTCTACAGTATGGTGGAGTTTTATCGTGCGCCTGCGGTCTCTCTTTTTTCGCGTTGACATTTTTTCCTTTGAATGCTGCAGTTTCTTCTACGTGTATGCGATGATTGATTTGTATTTTCATTTTTACCTCTGCAATATGAAGATATTGAAATGCAGATAGTTTACTATGAGAGCGGATGTCTACGGCATGCCTACAATGCATTTGGATAGTTTACTATGAGAGCGGATGTCTGCGGCATACTTACAATGCATTTTGATTGACTGGCTATACATACATACAGTAAATGCAGACCAATCGTCCAGTTTTGGCGATGGTGTGGAGAGAATGGACGCCGATCGTTGAGTACCGTACACTGTAGGCAGTGTAGTGAATGGTAGTAGAGTTTAAGCAACCTGTAATCACTCGGTTGGAACCGAACCTTGGACAGGTCTATCTACACTACAGTAACTCAGATGAATGGAGAATCCACATTTCAACACACGTTGATCAACTATCGAATTAATTCATAAACAATTCGCACAGTAAACTATTCACTACCAGGGGTAGCAAACAAACATTTTTTTGTCCCGTTTCCTCTTTTGTCAATATGATTTTATTTCACAAGTCCCAGCAACTGTAAACGCTAACCCGTGCCGCTGTCGAACTACTGTAATGACTGCTAGCAAACTACTGGACTATAAATCATACTCAATTACTCATACAGTACAGTCTGCATACAGGATATACAGTACATTACTGCACACAGGTGTGCAGTATTGTACTCGCACTGAGAATTCGTCTACGCGCACTTGTCCGGTTGTCTCGACTTCCGATCCTACTGCTCGATCCGACAGTTTACAGTACTGTATGTACAGTATAACATACTGTATGCATTGTACTGTACACTGTACACGTATTGAGAATTAGTCAGCGGGCACTTGTCCGGTTGTCTTGACTTCCGATCCTACTGCTCGATCTGAATGTACAGTTTACAGTACTGTATGTACTGTACAGTATAACATACTGTATGCATTGTACTGTACACTGTACACTGAGTACACGTATTGAGAAATGAGAATTAGTCAGCGCGCACTTGTCCGGTTGTCTCGACTTCCGATACTATGGCTCGATCTGAATGTACATTGTACAGTTACAGTGCAGCAGTCAAAGCGCACTTGTCCGGTTGTCCCGACTTCCGATACTACGGCTAGATCTGAATGGACTGTACTGTACTGTACTGTACAGTGTACAGTAGACTTACTGAGAACCAGTCAACGCGCAATTGTCCGGTTGTCCCGACTTCCGATGCTACGACTAGATCTGAATGTTGTAGTGTAGAGTAGAGACCCTCTAGTGTAGTGTACAGTACAGTGTACTGTATAGTAGAGATGAACACCGTATCAAATTGTTACTTCACTTTACAGTACACCTGTCGATGGTTTGCTTATGGTACTTCAATACCATCGGAGTTGATACACAGCCAACTGTGTAACAGCAACTTGCGAAAATTCTCTTTAAAGCCGTGGAATGGACGTAGCTGTAGTTATTTCTTATGAGAGATGGGTTTTTTCTTACAGTGCAGTACACTGTACAGTACAGTACAGTACTGTATAATACCGTTGAGTACTGCTCTCTCTTTTACTGGACAGTATTGGATGAATGCTCGACGTCACGACGAGTGGACGATTGCGCGCCAGAACTTTCCGTACTATTCACTGTGGGCAGGATACAATGTACTGTAGTCGGGCTCCTACAGTACTGTAGGCGGCCAGGCTAGCCGTTACAGTCAAGTGTTTTTTTCCAAACTGGATGGGCTAGCCATACGTATTGTTTTGTAGAGGAGTGTCGCTGCCGTGTATGACCAACACTATGGTCGGAGTACTGCAGGCATTGCACAGTCAATGTGCTATACGCCAGTTTGACCTGTCATGATCGTCAATTGGGGGGGGGGATAGAGAGGGAGATTCCAATCATTGAGCCATCCATTGGAGAAGCTTGAAATGTTCTGCAGCTGCAAGCCTTGAAGTTTCAACATCTATTTATTAGCAATCGACATGGTAGAAGTTCATTGTAATATCCAATAGATTGAAAGAGTTGGCCAGATGTCGTATAATGCTGGTGATAGCGCTTCCAAACGGCATTTACAGCAGGGACGTTCAGGTTGGAAATTGTTGGTGAAGGGATTTTTGACTAGGCTTGATCATGACAGTAGTAATAGTAGTCAACGCTGGACTATCTCATCCTGCAAACTACCAGCTACATTATCCATCGTGTCTTTCAATACCGGCCTATCGCTTGGTTGAAAAACACTTTGGCCTAAACTATTTCAGTCTTTTAGCCTATTTTTCCTCTTTCAAAATCCTTCTTACCATCTTATTAGTCTTGTAGACAGGCATTACTAGACAGTACAGGAGTTTGCAGCGTATTTTCATCATCATCGCCTTTTAACTACGGCTATACCAACTCCTATTGTTGAATGCATTGTCTACGGTAATATCCATCCACCGTAGTAGATTCAATCCGTTCTTGTAATATGCAGAGTATAGGCCAAAATAGTCCTGTTGGTCAACTTGAAAGGCTTCAATAACATGTCATGATGTGAAAGATCAACGACTAATAGCGTCTCTTTCTTGTTTTTTTTTCATGACTTGATTTTCACTATGGTCTTTCGCACTTTTTCCATTCCATCGCTGTCAATGGCAACAATCATGGTGGAACGTCTTCATGGTATGGATAGCATCATCTTGCCACAAGCAACAAAATCAAAGCAAAAGTAGCAGCAATCATCATCGTCATCGCCACGATTATAAGTTATTAATTGATCCGGCATTGAATTCCACGCAATCCAAGAAAGTCTATCGCTACAACGGATGCGTTAACGAGGTACTATCTTATACTGTACAGTAGTCAACTAAGATTAAACTCAGTGACGGATCGATAGGTAAAATGTACTGCAGCTCTTGAACGACTAGTCCCTAAAACTATTGAATAGATAGATGTGTATTTCTGTAAATGACTTATCAACATATCACTATAACTTTCAATTCCACCATGGATTGATGCTTATTGATACAGTAAATGGTACAACATGCGTTGTCTTCATTGCAGTACAACTGTGTATCAAATGACGGCAAAGATTAACCCCGTTGTTATTGTGATTGGAAAGGGTACACTAAAAATGAGCTAGCCCATGAACTTGACTACAGTCTTGAATACATTCCATTCTCGTCTGCTAAAGAAACATCAATAGCCCATCTTATTAACTCTAGTCAACACACATAGAATCCAAATTCTAGTTAGGATATTGATGAGGAAAATTTTTTATCAATTTATTTTTAATTTGGATTCATAGCCAAATAATCCGACTCTGTTTTGACCATGTGATCTTGTATAGGATGAGCCCTCCATTCAAGTGCAAGATCCACGCTTACACAAGGAATACTTATCCAAAAGTAGGCCCCAAATTGAACTTTTAACGACGCGATTTAAGGTAAGTTAGGACTTGAATGATAATTGAATAGCAAGAGACGGCCAAATGATATTGTATTGCTATGCTATCGGCCCTATGATTGGATATAGAACGTGTGCCAAGAGAGCCATAAAGTACAACGTACTCTGTCGTCTTATGCGTACTATCGCCTTAATGTAAACATGATGATTACTTTCGTTTTTCCAACAGCATGTTTTAATACAGTATACAATCAATATGCTTTATGCTGTAAACTTCAATAAAGTAGACATGTCAATTATAAATAGAGGTAGCATGCTACTGATAGATTCAACAAAAACTTATTTCCGGATCGATATTTCGCCTTACTTGATTCATCTCTTTTTTATAACTATATCCTATGATGAATGTCATTGATGCCACCGGTATACTTGCACAATCGCCTTCCTTAACAATGATCGACATGAACTATAGTATGATGAGGCTTCGGTTGGTGATCCGCCGGCCAATTCTATCTTCATCGCTAATTTGAGTAGTACAATTGATCAACGTGATTTACAAAGCTACTGCAAAGTTTATGGTAAGATTGATACACTGAAACTTTATCGCCATCCAAACAATCGATCTCCATTGGCTGCTCGTGTAACCTACGTCCATTGTAAAGATGCCAGTAAAGCGGTTCGCGGTTTAAATAATAAGATAATTAAAGAACAAGCTATGCGCGTAAGCATCGATCCTAAAGGTTGGTTGAAGAGAAAATTGACCAATTTTTTTTTTGTAAAGTTGACAAGTATAATGTGGATTACAATTTTCTTTTACTGACCATAGCGTTTTAAGTCGTACACATTGACGCGCTACGTAATGACATCGTGAGTAATGAACTACTCAATTAAACCCCAACATTGTCATTAGTAATGGCTACTTGCACTTTTCACAAAGTAAACGTATCATTTTCCATGACGATGATCACGTTGACATTTGGTCATAGTACAGAAGAATCGAATGCCACTAATTGTAGTAGTGATTCTAATCACTCAAAATCACTAAAATATAGCTTTTCAAGCAACATAATTATCACATACACACCGAAGCTTCCGTAATCTATTTTCATATTCTGAGCTGTTGTCTGCATAAGGAGATTGATATGGTAAACGTGAACTTTGCTTATTTTTAATCTTGCCTTTTACTTTACTATAGCAATTCTTCAGATACCAAAATAACGTTATTTCATAATAATTAGGATCTTTTGAAGCCTTGGTCATGCTAACAAGGTTTTAATTAAAATGCATTATAAATTAAATTAAAGTAGAGGAACTGTAGTGTAGTTTTGACCAAAACAGTGACCAACCCTTTAATAATAATATGAGTGGAAAATAATTAATCAAATTGTTACCGTAAGCATAATAGATGGTCAAGTGTATAGGATTGGATTGCTCATTATACGCGGACTGTTGTAGAATTTATTACCGACACAGTTATCTACACTCTAAATTGTAGATAGCATCATGTCTTCTTGTCAAACTTGGAACTGATAAATGTCATGAGATTATGATAGAATTACTGTGTAGTTTTATTTATTTAAGTAGTACAATTCTCTAATCATACAGTATTATTATCAGTTACTCAAGATGGCAAACGAAACATGAAATGGCAATTACCTGGACATAATTATTTTCTAAATAATTTTGGATTAATGATCTTGAAAGTATCGTACAGTGATTGATTGTTTAAGCATGATGAAAGTGAAATCTTTCGTTTCATTCATTCAGTAATATAGTGAAAAAACCGTTGTACATATATGATACACTTGCGTTTAAAGCATTAAAATAAGTTAAAAATAATAATTAGCGCGATTACTAGTGACTGATGAGATGGGTATTGAGATATTTCATACTTACAGATCTGTAAACTTTGACGATAGCTGAATATTTTCAGTCATTAAACTACGATAACAATAGTGAATATTTACAAACGCTACGTACCGATGAAGATACGGGTATGTAAACAGTAAATGCTAGTAGTTCTACAACTGTGAAATCGAATAATTTCCGTGCCTTTCGATATCACATAATAGGTTAGGAAATCAACACAGGATTATGAAATGTAACTTTGAAGTACATGTTTGGCAATTTCTGATTATAGCGGTCTTAGCTTTAACTTTAAAATTACACACCTTGAATGATACTGATAGTGTACCGATTGTTATGTTTTTAGTTGTCATAATGGATACATTATGCATACTGTAGCAGTCCACGAGCAGACATGTAATTGTTATTAATAATATTGACAATTACTGATTGTACGATATGAGAGCCCCAATGGTTCTTGCAAAATAATAATCACATAATTAGTTGTAAACATTTTCTTCTCTTAATTAAGGGACAGTAGTCAAAAGGGACGTTTGATTGGATACCTTTTCTGATCAAATAGCTTAATCAAATTCGAGCTTAAATAATGTGTATACTCGTATTTGCACTTTAATTACCGGAATTAGTAAATATGATCGTTTATCTGAATAAATGTTCAAAATTAACTTCATATAATTACACTTTTAATGAAATCTTTTGAATGGAGCTAATCGCTTTGGATTAATTTTCGTAAACTTATTTTTTTAATCTGATAACAAGCTTGAGTGTAATCGTAGCTGTTGATCAGAATTGAGTAGGTATTGTCGTACAGAACATGTTTATCATACTTTTGAAATTATGGTTCGATTTAATTTAAATGATTATCAATATTTTAACATATTCTAAATACTATATGTCTAAATTCATCCATACGTTTTCGTTTCAAACATGGACTACTAGTTACGTATGATGGCAGCTAATGTTGTACTAGTACAATAGTAACTACATTACTGACATATCGGTTAATGAATTCAAATTCAACTAATAGGTGAATTATTGCAAGAAGCTTTAATTCCAGTATTACCAAACCATGAAACACAGCAACAACGATGGAAAAAAATTCGACCTGCAAATGTACACGAACAAATTGAAAAATTACGCAAATATTACGAAAGACACAAAACATCGAATCCTTCTGATAACTATTACGCTACAAATAATCATCATGCTAATGATAAAAAGGAAAGTAAGCAATCGTCATCCAAGTTAGATAGTAGATTAGAACAGTTACTAAAAAATCAAAGCGCATGTGAACTATTAATGAGCAAAGGCTTTAATGCACGAAGTATACCGCCGCCGTTGCCAATCATCTCACCTCCGACAGTAGCACCACCGCTACCGTCGTCACCTGTTCCACCGCCTGCGCCTCCTCTACCAGTTGAAAATTACCCCGCTGCTCCGCCACCACCTGACATCAACGAAGTAGCAATGGATGAAACTAATTCAGATGATGATGCTATGTCATTATCGCCAATCAGTTCCAACGATGAATTTGAAGTTGCCACCACTAAGCCTGTACCAATAATATCACCTTCATTCGGTTACAGCGTTCCTAAATTAATAGCAAGTAAACCACCGCCTCCAGTGGATGTATTGCCAAAAAATGTACATTTGTCTAAAATTGTTAGTCCTAATACGTCCTCAATATCAATGACGCCTCCTTATAGTAATACTATAAAACCGTTAATGTCAACACCGCCGAAACGATCTACTGTTTTAAATATAACTAATGCGATACCGAAAAATGCCGTACCCATAAAGACCCCAACGTATCCTGTCTCGCCGTCGGTACCTGATACGCGCTTAAATTACACCATCGGCGACGTTAAACCAAATTATCATACAGGTGATGTTAAGCCAAAATACCATGCCGCTGATGTTAAGCCAAATTATCTTGCTAGTGATGCTAAACTAAATTATCATGCTAGTGATGTTAATCCAAATTATCATGGCAGTGATGTCAAACCAAATTACTATGCCAGTGATATTAAACCAAATTATCATGCCAGTGATATTAAACCAAATTATCATGCCAGTGATGCCAAACCAAATTATCATGCCAGTGATGTCAAACCAAATTATCATGCCAGTGATATTAAACCAAATTATCATACCGGTGATGTTAAACCGAATTATCATGCCGGTGATGCTAAACCAGGACGCCATACAGCACCAGAGCCTGCACCTCACAAGATTCAAGGGTTGAAACTAAATAATATACCTACTCAGGTGTCAAGTTGCATAGATGAACGCTTAAATTTTCGCTTCATTGTGGATGATGTAGTTGCCAAAGTGGCTACGGAACTTAAAAGTATTGTCAAGCGGGATATTTGTAAGAAGCTAGTAGAAACGGTTGCGTTTAAAGAGTTAGATGACTGGTGGGATAAACAGTCCGCTAAAAATGTAAGATTCTGTATCTTTAAAGTTTACTAAATTATACGGTGATGCAATAAGCATGATTTCGAGTGATAACTGTACTGCATTCTCTGATTTACATTGTTTTATTTATCAGTCGTCCGGGCGGATCGCCCAGCCTTTCGTTGCAAAGACCGAAAGTTCGAATGTTGCCGCTGCTTCAACAATGCTTAGGTGGTCATCGTTTGGTGATAAGGGTTTAAAGGCTACTTTGCCCAAAATGCCATCTTTCAAACGACCCAGTCAAATCCAACAGGAACGCGAATATGAAACAAAATCTTCAATGAAAAGGGAACGTAGTGATAGTAGTGTTGCACCATCGAAAAGGGTTAAAGTAGAAAGTGATATTGAAAGAATAGATGTAACACCAAGTTTAACTGATTCCGAATCAGAAAGTGATAATATATCAATTACATCGGAATCTGATCGAGTATCGTTGTCAGAATCCAGTATTACTATTACGCCTGTTACTTCCGATGGTGAAGAAGGTACCGGCATCAGATATCTTGTATTTGCTTTATGTCTTTTATTGCAAAAAGACCCTATGTGTTTATTTTTTCGTTACTGATTAATTTATATTTCGATTTCTACACACAGATGATTACAAAGAGAACTCGCAGTCCTTATATCATAGATTATACTCTAGTAGCAATGAGGAGGAGGATGCCACACTTAATGATGCAACAAATGAAGCTGTTATTGATGTATGCCCTCAGGAAACCAAAGATGCCGGTAGTTTAAACTTACTCAAAATTATCATATGATCTAGGACATTTAGAGACTAAACAAGATGTAATTGATAGGAGGCACTAAACAATCATGTAATTGTGTAGGTGAAAATATGGAGATTGCTGTTGAAAATGGTGTTGCTGATATTGAAAATAATATTAGCGTTGAACCGAAAAAAGAAGAATTAGAAGTTGAGGTAGCCGTAGAAATGCCGGTTACTGGCAAAGTAGACGACCGTAAAGAAGTTCCTTTGCCGACATCTAAATTCAGGGTTAGGTCGAAAAATGAAGAGGAAGAAATATTTTGGTCATTCTTTCGTAAAGGATACGATCTGGAAGATTATCGTTACATCAGGAACTCTTTCTTTGACTTACATGAAAACGATTCAGAATTTGCTAAAGAAATATTATGGGCTTCTTGTCCGAATATCCTTTTATACTATATATACTTATTGAAATTACGTAAAAGTGTTATAGCTAGTAAATCAGTAAAACTTAATGAAACAGGATACTAGTAATCTACGCTTTTAACGCTTTGCATTTCTCAAATCATGTTATTATATTCATTAACGAATTGGTACATCAGCTACCGACGGTCGTTTCGGAGAAATTGGCTCATAAGACCGGTTGCGCAAGATGCGAAGGATACTATCGAATTGATAAAGCTGACAAGGCACGCCATGTGCAAGATGCTGCTACTGCTGCCGCAGCTGCTGAATCTAACGTAATTATTTGTACTTATGTTTTGCATTAATTGTTTAGTTATCATGTCACTGAGCTAATAATTGCGCAGTATCAGTACTAAGAAGTAATCCATGACGTTTGTATTAGGAACCTTCAAAGGGACGACAAGTTTCTCGAGAGAATCGCGCTAGCAATCGACGCATTATCTCATTCTTTCAGGCTTCGGATGCTGGAGATTTATTAAAACTCAATCAATTAAAGGTAAGATCTAGCTGTACTAATATTATTACGTGAGAAAATCAATTTCTGCTACGTTGTAGTGATATTTGACTTACTTAATGTTATATATTGTACAGACTCGGAAGAAGCAGCTGCGATTTGGAAGATCACAAATTCACGAGTGGGGATTATTTGCTAGAGAGCCTATCGCGGCTGATGAAATGGTTATTGAATATGTCGGTCAAACGATTAGACAGACTGTCGCTGATGAACGTGAACATCGATACGAAAAAATTGGGATTGGTAGCAGTTATTTATTCCGTATCGACGATAATTACATTATTGATGCTACCAAATGTGGAAATTTAGCTAGATTTATTAATCATTCGTGCTCGGTACGCTAGTATTCATTTTTTTATTTCTTTATATTGAGGTTAAAACATTTTTAAACAATATCTATATCTTTTCAATCTGCTTTTCTTTGCAGCCAAACTGCTACGCTAAGATTATTTCACTCGAATCCCAGAAGAAAATCGTTATTTACTCTAAATACGATATCCAAGTGAATGAAGAAATAACCTACGATTATAAATTTCCTATCGAAGATGTCAAGATACCATGTCATTGCGGAGCGTTACAATGTCGTGGGGCTCTCAATTAGTGAAGCCGTCTTTAAGTATACAGTATGTATGTTGTGTAGCATATTGTATGATTCAGATACATTTTTTGTACTATTGCTTTGTTTTTGACGTTGCATAGCATCGCACGGTAGTATCGAAAAGATTTTTGAAGCCCACGGATATTTGTAAATATGGCAGCTACCAACTAAGATGCTACGAAATTAGTAAATGTGTATTTTATGTAACGTTTAATCATTTTATTCTATTGACATATGTAGCGTTAAAATAATACTGTATGTAAATAGCATATACTTTCGAATGTTTCAGCAATACGAGTACAGTTTTTATGCAAGATTTATTTACGTTAGAATATCGTGAACGAAACTATGAAAGAGTTTCACAAGATACTAAAACTGAATATTTGCTACTCTATGACATAAGTAATGATATGATAATAGATTATAATATCATATGTTTTCATATGTTTAAGCTAATGTATAACTCTTATGATTTATATCTTGCCTGATAAAATTAGTTATCAAAATGACAACTGGCAGCATGTACGTATCTACAGAACATTACAAAAATGAATGTTTGATCTAAAATTGATGATTTTGATACACCAAATATCAACAATTGCTTGCACAGATGTAAATGTTATGCCCGTGACTGTCCATACGCATCAGCAGTGAATTAATAAATAAAATCCTACATTGTTCATACTATATGTTTCACAGCTTGTGTCGCGTCAATGGTTGTTATAGTTGGTTTTGCAACACGGGAATCCATAACTGGTACAGACATCCTGGAAAATGATAAATTAGCAAACGGTGATATTAGAGTTCATTTCTTTACGGTTTAACTCACGGAAATCATTGTTAAAATTATTTTAACAAGTTTAATCGGTTGAGCAATAGCTTTTGTTGAACAAATTAAAGTTTCACTAATAAAGCGAATTAAAAAAGGAGATAGTACTAAATCCTGTACTTACGGAATGTTGGAGTGGCTATTGACGACAAATAATGGATTGGCTTTACTTAAAATTTCGTCGTTTACTGATACACCATCTAAGTATTGCTTTAGAATAGCTTTTAACCGCTGATTTTCAGCCACCAATTTGCCTTTTTCCTTATCAATTGCTAATTTCTCTAATAGTACCTACAAGTAATAAAAGTGTTAAATATCTGGTATAGAAGGATGACGTAAAATATTGAACTGGGATATCTGGAAAGTACAGCACTTGTACTTACAGTAATAATGTAAAATATGAAATATTTATTTTGGAGTATGGATCTAATATACCAAACATGATATCAAGATGTGATACACTACCTTATTATAACGTTTCCAAAAGTTATCTAAGCTGGTATAATCGTGAAGCATCTAAGTGAAAAAGATTCGATTAGTTGGTGCTGGTAATTATCGTACTGGATTAGTCAACTCAGTTATACTGTGAAGTATAGTATATACTATTTAGCAAATAAGAAGCATTACATCTGCAAGTTTTTCAACTGAAGGTTCCGCCATAGCTGCTTCGATATCATCTTCTTCTTCCTTTGTCAGAGTAGACGGATAAAATGGTAAAACCTATAAAATCAATGATGAGTTTTGATTAGATTTAAAAATTTTCATGATAGTCCATTCTGTTAAATGTGAAGAAGATCTTTCATTACGATAATTTAATGTAGACCGTAATACTACGCTTAGGATTCTTCCTATCACAATTTAACAAGTTACCTTTTCTTCTTCAGCTTCCAGTTTTCTACACATTTCAGCAATTTTTAAAATATGCTGACCCTTTATATTCAATGTAATAATATCAAAAAACATAAACAAGAGTAATAGCTAAAATCAGCTTTAGTGTTCGGGTGCAATTCAACATCTCAACCGGTCTACCTTAGTTTTAATCCTATCTAATTCCTTCAGAGTGTTATTGCTTTGAACTGTTAAAGTTGTTAACCTAGCTCTAAATAAAGATTGATATCCAAATTGGCGAAATTTTATAGTAGATGCTCAAAATAACATTGCAATTAAAAATGACCTATACTGTAAATAAGATGAAAACCCTAGTACCTATCAGCATCGCGAAGTCTACCCATTTGAGTTTTAAGCTCTTGAAAATGCACGAGAATAGATTCTCTTTCCTGTAAAGAGAATTACAGTTAAAATATAGATTTAATCATCCTTACATACAGTAGATATCCAAAATTGTGGTTATCTAACGAATAACATGAATCTCAGACTGGTATGTACTTCTTTCAAAGTTTTATTGCGTTCATCACTTTCTTTAGCGGTGCTGGCCATTTTAGCTTTCAAAAATGATATTTGATCCTGCCACAATAGTTTTTACGTAAATATGATCATTACTTTCAGTTAATTTTATTAATATTTTATTTTATTAGCATTAAATGCACGATGACTGGATATATAAAAACTTAAATAAGTATTGTTATCTTTATAGTTTGATCATGTCTACATGCGATTCATGCTTAACTCCTGAGATTTAGCATCATTAAACTTATATCAGAATCAAACTATAATAGTATGATGTTCTCTTCTATTCTTACAGTTAAGCGTTGTAGCTTTCTCATTTGTTGTTCAATTTCTTCAGCACTTTTTTCATCTTTTGCTTTTAGATTCTCGAACGCTGTTTTTCTGTCTGCCGTAGCTTGCGTATAATTAGTACGCGCCTAGCAAAGCAATTGGATACAAATGAAACGCTTTATTGTTATTTCATGAAAACAACGCTGTAAAAGTAAATTCAACACAAAAATATAACTCAAATTATTTTAAAATTCTCGTTGTCCACTTACTTCTTCAAATTGCTTCCACAGATCTTCAACAGTGCCTTCCAGCTGTATGCGTAGGGCATGCTTTTCCTCTAAATTCTACATATTGATTAAAATAAGAGGTGTTTATTCATATCACGACTGCTGTTACCGTACATTATAGAAATGGGTCGAATACATCAGTTATAACAAATCCTCACCCTATTTTTGATTTCATCTCGTACACTTTGAAACTCATGGCGAACATCGCTTTCTCTTTCATTAAATTCTTGCTCCATTGCGAACATTATATCTGTCAATTCATCACATTCTTTCTTATTTTGATTGATCATAGAGGACCTGTACAGGTATATTTAAAACGGTTACTGCTATATCAGGCATAATTAATTAATAGCAATACTGATAAATAGATAAGTTAGTATAGCATAGCAAACTCTCTTATAGTTATTCTAGCAATGATATGCAAAGAAAATGGCATATTACAGTAATTGTTTTATATAATTTTAATGCTAGTAAATCATTTATTTCAGCAAAATAATGGAAATAATTGCTTTGCACAATGTACTATCATGCACTACATGTATTGCATTTAGCTCACCTTTCGGAATCGAATTCCTGCTTTAGAATTTCTAGCTGTTTGTCATATTCCGACTTTACTGACGTTAATCGGCTATGTTGTAAAGCGATTAATTCATCCATATTTTGTAGATGACTCCTTAAAGCCATTTGATATCTGAGATACTTCAGTTAATGATATTCAACTTTAAGAAGTAGAAAATAATTGTATACAACTATCACTTTATTAGGCACTTTTATACTATCTAGGATCAATTTAAAAAAATATTAGAAAAAAATAGCTATCAAAGCACTATTATTATCATACGAATATAATGTTAAGATACTGTTCTTCAGCTTCTTCTAAATCCTTTCCTAGAGACTTGACAATTGCATCTTTACGATCCACAACACGTTCAAATGTTTGCTGTAGGACTTCAATATCTTTAACTAAATCCTTCGCTTTGGCTATGGAAACCAAAACGTGTATATGTTTAGCCGGTATCGATCACAGTTAGCTGAATCATGTTATTCAAGGTGTACACGGCAAAACCGAGAGTAAAGTAAATGCAAGTGTGACCGATTTTCATTTCATCTTACACCTTCTCGTAACGTAGTAATCTTGCGTATCGATTGTATTCACCTCAGGCAAATACAATATGCAGTAGCAGTCGATGGGAAATGGGCATTTTTGGCAGCATATACTCATTATTTATATTGGTATACTAGCAGTATTGCCATTCATTTATTTATGGATTGATCAAGGATATTACCGGATATTGGGATCCATCACTATGCCTCGAGACAACTAATCGTGTACCACTGTACTTCGATTTACTGTTTTCTATTTGATGGTATCGAAGAAAAGGCTAACGGGAGTTAGATGAGTAATTAATTCTCACGATAATGGACTGTACAGTACAGTACTAAACAAACATCCTCGATAGACTATGGCATTCATTTCCATTTTATTACTGTCTTTTTTAGAATAGTAGAAGCTCTGTGAAGAGCCTTCAAAAATTGCAACGCCGACTGTCGTTTAGACGAGTCGTCGTGCGGGATATTGGGAAAAGTTTTCAACTAGCAATAACCGCGCCTCGGTAAAACCTCACTGGCTACGGTACTGCCACTGCGCAAAGTTATCGCTTCAAACTTTTCGAGGGTATATATATTATATTCCGATTACTTTAATTATGGGATTAAAATTATGCAAATTAGTTCGATAGCTGTTTCTGCACGAAGGACTTCTGTACAGTACAGTACAGTACCATGGACTAAAGTACTAGAAATAATACCTGCTGTAGTAGTAGTCTATGACTGTACTGTACTGTACATACTGTGGTTGTCCATATGGTGCATGATGCAGTACTGTACAGTACAGTACTGTGGAGTTTATTTACTGTAATTAATCAATGTACTGTACTGTAGGCTTTACCATAAATGCAGATAACTGAATGGGAAACTATCCTAAAGGTTGTATCAATTTGTATGCCATACTGTACTGTACGATGCTGTGCTGTAATTGTACACTCTTATGATCCATTTGGTTTTAGTTAACATTTGAAAATTAATTTAGGAAAAATAATGTAGATATACGATATATTTAACGCAAATTATCATTATAGTTACGCTACAATATTTTACATCAATAATAATCAATTGCATTAATTCGATAACGTTTCATATTGCCTTAATTTCTTGCCCTATTTCAACAAAATTTGTCAATACGAGATACGTATCCTGATAAATTGAATTGAAGCTTGATTCGAGTGAAATTCCTTTACAACTACATGTTTATAATGTCTACTCTTTTGGATTGACTTTATCATTCATAATTGACTTTCAGATGAGCCGCTATTCTAGATTATCATCCAACTTTTATCGTAAACGAATTTCAATTATATGCAGTAAGCAGAGTACAGGATCGTGTTAGCTAATTTATGCGTACGTGAATCTAAATATATTTTATGCTGTATCCACATCCAAGTCTGACTGAATCAATCATAACAGGATCTTCTCTCGAGCAAGAGACTTCAGATTAAAGTAATAATATCATAAAATGCACGTAGCTCTTTAATATATACTATTCATTACAACTCTAACTGAAGGCAATTACTGTATATTGCTTAGGGAGGATAATTCTAACACCCAATGAAGTCAAATCTACATCGCCACATTTTTTATCCTACATTAATGTCATGAATATTTCTAAGCATGGAAATTTAAAATGACTTCTAAAAAGTTTAAAATACAGCTAGACTAATTTTATGATAGCTCCAAACTGAAAATACATAAACATGTAACGGTAATGAGAGCTTCTTTATCAGTCGATGTACAATCTTAATTACTTTATAGATCTTATGAAACTCTTATTTTACTATACCTTCTCGCATGATTGCTCGCCATTGATAATTTAACTTATTAATGTTAAATTTGGAATACTTTTCCTCTTTGCCAAGCTTTTCCTATTGGAAATCATCAATGATTGCAACTTATAAGTACTCAGAAGTGCAAATATAATTTAATGATATTGCACAATTACATTTTTAAGCGTCTTTCTTATGAAAAATGTAATAGAATATGGTATATTGGGGGGAGAGGATAGAAGTTGATACGTTTGTATTTCTAACTTCAAAGACTAATATCATTTATTGTGAAAGTCATCCTTTATCATGTGCTGTTCATATGATTAATTCTTGCGATTAGAAAAACGAACGTGTTAATGCATTAATTTAATATAATAAATCTTTCAGATTACTCATTCCATTACTAATACGATATTTAATTACAGTCTGATGTTAGATATTAGTTTATTAACGACTGAGACTACTTCACGGTAAGGTGGCACTATGAACAGCTAAAACAAGGTATTCCTTCAATTTTTAATGGTGAAATTAAGTTTTATCCATAGCCGCACTAGTATCATCGTGATTGAATATGCGGTGTTATTTAGGAAAGCGATTGACGATGTTTTCGCTTGTCTACGTTATATGAAGCGTATCATAGGTAATCGATAGGCTAATAATATCCTACCGTACTATAGTTCGACTAACCTACTAGCTAGGATAACTCTGTATGATATAACGAATAACTCGTGTAATAATCGAAGAAAAATATATTTCCTTTTAAAAACCTAATTTACCTTTAGAAATTGCGTCAGTAAATCTTCTTTATTTTTTCGCATTTCCTCTTCTGCCAACTGCTTCTGCTCGAGATAAAGCAGTCTTTCCTCTTCAGTCATGTTGGCAAGCTTTTTCTTTTTAGCACTTCCCTTCTTTCTAGGCGGCATTTTGGCTCAATATGATTTAGGCGTAGTTACTGAAATAGATTCAGTCAGGAATTTACAACTTGCTTGTTTTTATAGGCTACTAATATAGCACTAACTCAGTATTTTCTTACTGATTATTGCGAAAGCTAATATCTGATTTATGTGAAAGTTCAATGTACTTAAATGTTACTCTGCCAATTGTTGAGAGATATACGTATGTAAATTTTTAATACTAAAATCTATGAAATGTTTAACAATTGTTGATCAAATCTAGTAACTCTCTTGCCTGATATGGAATTATAAATCTATTGGGATGTTAAAGGCGAAATAGTTAAGGAAAAACGTATTCTGGACAGCTGCTGATACCTTGTACGTGTATTACTCGCAATACGATGTAATGTTAAAATAGACTATGCGACCAATCACTAATACGTTAACAGTTACGGTGCGAAAATATACTTACTTTCTTATACTTTTTCCTTTATCAGAACCCCTGAAACAGTATGCTAGTTATGATCTAAATGTAAATACCATTATAAGAATCCATTACTAAGAGTACAGCCAGTTACAACTTTTTTTTTGAAAGCTTGTAATGGTTGCCATAGCAACCATTACACTTCCTTATATGCTGTACGTCATATGCGCTATACTGTATAGTACTCTATATGGACCAGACCAGCCGAGTGTATATATATAAACTGGTAGAAAGACAACATCTGTGTAGATTATATGTAAATATAATTAGTAATAGTACACTATGGACAGCTTGATAATATAATCCATACCTTCTGGCTAGTTCATAACTCATACAGCTCTGAATAAGTTTTATTTTGTGCTAATAATTGCATATGAAGTTATGGGTACATTTGGCAAGTACTAGTAATAGTTCCATTGCCAGCTGAGATACAAAATTTAATATAGTAAGTTTTGTCGTGTTGCTGGGTGGAAGGGGATAATCAATTATAGTTTTAGTATAAGATAAGTACTACTATAAAATTAATTTATCGTACTCGTATAGGTAGATTATGATAGCGTTTGATCAGTGAATAACTCAGTAGATATAAAAGATTATCAGTAGACGTCTTCTTGCTTCCAATCTGCTGTATAGTTGATGTTTGATGCTAGTTAGAATTTCTCAATTATGTTGAGGTAAACAATTTCATTTCATTGCATATCCATGATATTCTTGCATATAATATCGCCATATCTATTTTTCGATCTATAGTGCGATTACTGCTGTAAATTCCTATTGCCACAATTACTGTTTTAGCTAAGCTGTATTATAAATAAATTGCAATTGTGCATAATGACCATATTTGGGCTTTAATTACATGATACGCGTTTTTATATTAAACATAATAGTACTTTTAATACCTTGGTATTTCTGGTTAAAGACTAAATTTAATTATTTTCAAAGGAATACTTAATGGAATTTAACTTTAGAATGATGTTTAATTTTTGATAGCATCCAGAAACATTTTTAATTACATGCTACGGAACCATAGCTCTTACTGGATGATAATTTTAATTTTATCATTAAAAATGAAAATTATCATTCAGGTAGTGGTAGGATAATAATTTCGAATCAGACATTGAAACTACCAAATTAAGCTTATCATCTACTGTAATTTAATATGATTTTCCTACACTTTGGATACATATTATTATTCTTCATTAATCTCTGTTTGTTATTTTCGCAATTAAATTTCATTATATTAATAAATGCAACTGACAGCAAAATAATATGAATGTAATATGAGGTTACTTCACAATGAATGATTGCCAGGCCCAGTTGTATCAATCGTAATACTTATTTAATATTGATAAATTCTATTACCACTTACTACTCAAAACTATAAATATGATTGAACATGGTATGGTCCCAGAGTTTTAGTATTATCTTAGCATGATTTGATATACGGTACTTTAATGCAGGTACAAAATTAGTGTAATGATCATAACGTTATCTAAGAATAATGTCATCATGACTTGAGTATAAAGGGCAATAAAAGCTAGTGAGCACAACAGTTTATCGCAATCTATGAAGCAAGCAATACTTTGAGATCATAGAATTAAATTAGTGTGTGAAGTTTATTTCATACCTTTTGAATCAATGACGTCTTTAACAATCATCTCTAACCGTACCTTGAAATTGGCCTCTAGCTTTTTTACCTGGAACGATTTATATATTTGAATAGCGCAATGTAAAACTATCAGACTGGACAATACTGACTGTGCCGTTCAAAAGGGCTAATTAAATCGCGACTCAATTGATCTTAATATAGATTATTAGATGAATAATAAGCAATAAACAGCATATAATATAAATTCTGCAAAACTTCTTCATTTGCTAGTAGCTCATCATAGCGGCTAGGATCTTCAAATACATCTTATTTCATACACTAATTATTGGCAATGCAATCATTATCAAGAGCCAATAGTAATGGTATAGCTTTCTTAAGCTAAATTGCAGAACTTGAATTTGATTCCGTTTGCAATCAACCTATCAGAATAACCCTATAAGCATCAATGCAGAAAAATTTCTCTAGTATTAAGAAATAATTGCCATCTACAGTCACTGTACACAAGATAATATATCTTAGCATAAAATAAAGTAAGGAGTATTTTTGCGTTCGAACTTTCTAGATTTTGTTCTGTAAGGAAAAATAACACAAAAATTTCTCCATAATGAGAGTCATAATTGATATTTACAATATATTAAGAATATGCAGTTCTTATATATAGTATGTCTGTATATTGACTATATTGATATACTGTAGATTAAGGCACCTATCAGATTTATGAGCTTCTTATAATTAATTAAATCAAGATATTTTAGGTAGTTTATTGTGTCTCTTAATTTCATCTTTGCTATTATCGCTTGATCGGTCGGGGTATAAAATCTGTTTTCTTTTTAAAAGTATTTCAGTAAACTATCATACAGTTATTATACTTCTTATATATTCAACTATAAGTTTGTATTAATTAGATAAAAATTAAAAGAAAATAGTACTTTCCCTTAAAGATACTTTGGATCAAAATGATATTGGTGTTATTGTAAATTTAAAATCTTTTCTTCTAATATTCTGGTACTTAAGAACGAAATAAATATTAAGGAATCAACTGTGCATAGCTGTTACCATCACAGGATGTGAGTATAAGAAAAAGCTACCAGTAATCATGAAATTTATTTAATAGTTGTCATTACATAACAACTTGTTGCTCAGACAGAAATATACAGCTATTAGAGGAGATTTACAGGGTGAATTTACATTACAATATGACCTAAGAGTCAGTAGTTTCTTTCAAATTTACGCAGATAGATTCATGCAGTTTTGTTAATAGATTACACTTTTTTCATGCCTTAGTTTTTACCAAGAAATTACCTTCACGGTATGTGAGATAGACAATCATACTATGATCGATTTAGATTAACTTATAGAAAAAATAAATTCCGCTACACAGATGTTGTAATGAAGGTTAATTATTGAAAGATTTTCCTGTGATATTTCGGAAGATTGTGTGTTAGTCGTAATTATAAGAATTTAAGACAATAACTTGGTAAAATAGTAATCTTTATTGCAGCTAGTTTGAGGAAAAAAGTGTAAAATTATAACGTGAACAGTGACATGAAATGACCGAAGAGCTACAGTAAATTAGAATATAGGGAGATTTCTCTTACCTCTATGGTATAATTAGAATTTTACAGTACAGTATAAATATTAAAAATCAAAAGGTCATGCAAATACGGAGTTATACTACAGCGTAAAGAAAATTAACTTTTACCAAGAATTGGCTATACCGTATACAGAAGCATACACTACATTTCATTTAATAATTTGGTATAAGTTTACGAGATCAAATGATGTACGTAGAAATAGTAATTTGCAAAATGTTTGTAGCTAACACTGATTTTAGTTTGCGATTGTCATCTACATCATCTCTATCAGTGTACGATCAACTAAATGAACATTATTCAAGTAGGATACTTTACGATCGCAAGTAAATCCGTATTTATTAATTAGTTCTTTTATTGATTCAGATAGCTTGAGGTACATTCTGTTTAATACTAAAGCAGTATTAATCTGTTACTTTTTATGCGACCATGATAACATTTTTCATGGTATTTTATACGTCTGTAGTTCAAAATTGAATAGTGAGTTATTTTTCCCGTAAAAATCATATCTGATCAAGTGTATTTGTAGCTGAAGTAAATTAAAAATTTTCTTTCTATTACTACAACCAAATATTTTCTGGATTCATTGGATAAAATTGATTCCGGCATTCTTCTACAACCTTTTCTACTTTCTGCCGCATTTCCGAACTTGCTTTTTTACTTAGTATTATTTGCATACATGAATATATTTTAAGGCTACCTTCTTCATCTAACTTTTCCACTAAGATATCGAGTAAATTTTGTAATCCTCGTGGACTTCGATCCATAAAGAGATCGTTTGGCGATCGATGACCCAGAAATAAGATCATTTGCAAATCTTGTAGAGCTTCAGTATTATCGTGTAATTCGTGATAACGACTAGGATTCCTGAATATATCCACGTACATCTTAAAGTTGTTTGAAAATCGAATAGCAGAAGTGTACGGTATGTCATAACAGTTTATTCCTAGCCTATGACATGAATATCTAATCAGACTATCAGCAGATAACATTCGATATTCTTCGTCATTTGCAATAAAATTTTTGATGTGATTTCTAATAAAATAGCTTAATGCCATATTGCCATTTTCTTTAACAGCACTATGAAATAGTAGTGCGATACCGTCGTCGGTTAATAGATCTGTCACGATACTATCTAAAAGATTAGTGACTCCAGATCGACTATTTTTATCTGGAAGAGAAAGATAGTATATACCATGGATAAGATAGACAAGACGAAATCGATTCATCGATTGTGTAATCTCTTCCTTCGTATACAACAGCTGTGCCACATCAGATTTTAATAAATCGCCGAACGTAATTTGAAAATTTTTCAACGGGATAGTTTGATCACGATAAGCATTTG